TTTTATGGAAGTAAATGTATGCTGTTTAAAAACCTCGCGATTGCTGAACAAGAAAACGACACATTCATATTCCAATGCCGAGGTTAAGAGAAAGTCGATCCTGGGAGCTTTTCGGAGTGTTATCAACCATCTGTGATTGTTTAAAGTGGTTGAATTATTCACAGTACAGGCTGACAGTGTGAGCAATGATCTCAATTTATTCGAATTAGCATATACAGTCTTCTATAAAACATAATTTTTTCACTGAAAATCGGTAATCCTTCATTTTCGTTCGTTGGATTCGTATGTCAAGTGATCTTCAATGAGTTACAAGTGTCGATGATGCTCTGCTTCACTTTGGCGATTTCGTCTTGTGTCAGACCGTCGGCGATAATGTCAAAGTCACCATCGTCCACGTAGCTGGACGAGTTGCTGTTGGTCTAAAATATTGTGGAATTTAGAATACTTAACATTCAGTGCCTTTTTTCCAAAAGAGGAGACGAATGCATTTCCCGGTGAAATGTGTAATAACGCTCGGATTTTGTGTCATGCTTTCGGATGTGCGCCAAGTCCTCCAAAACATGTGCATTGAATAGAACAGAATGAAAAGAAGGATTATTTGTTCACTTATGGGTTAGTCATTTCATTGTATACACACTAGCGCGCAAGTTGTGCAGTGATGGAGGTGCCGCTAAATACCTACAAGGCCTTGGGTCCACCCTTGCCGCTCGAACCAAGGGCCCAACCTTTGCGGAACACAGATGTTAGTATTAGACTTGTCTCAGAAGTAGTCCAAGCCGTTCACAAAAACTGGGATTGTCTGTGGTGAAAAGATAGAAATGGCCTGGCACAGCTGTCCCAGGACACCAGGAAGGATCGACTCGACCGATGACATTCATAGGAAAAGCCAAGAAACCGCAGAATCCACGTTAATTCGAGGACCTTGTGGATGATGAATGAGAGAAAACGAATCGAATGCAAGCAGTCTTACAATCCGCAGAATATTTTGGGTTCGATCATGTTAGAAAAAAAGCATCCACACGTCATTTCTTTATTCTCAGCCCACAGGCAATAGTTCATTAAAAGAAGCAATCATTCTTGCATCCAACTTTGCAAGACTCTTTGCCTGAATTTCAGACTCTCAAATTTACACTTTGTGAAAATCATTTGCATTCCACTACTAAGGCGACATTTCATATCATTGCTGCTGAAGGAATCTCGTACAGCTTAACCATCTTCTTCAACATTGTCCTATTCACGTGCCGGCTAGTCACAGAACCTTAATGGCAAGCAAAGGTTTTATGTCTGCCCGAGCTTCTAAACCCAATGTAGCGATCATTGGGATTCAATGTTTTTCATCAATAAGCAGACACGAGGTTGTTA